ATTTAAATATTTAGTGTCATCTTCCCAAGATATGAAAGTTAATTGGGCAGAACTGAACCATTTTAGTGATGCTTGAAGTAAAAACACACACAAAACCTGTACAGTCATAGTCTTAATCTGTTGTCTTAAATCAGATCTTGTTTTCTGTAACAACACAAATCTGTTCCATAATGGTAATTTTAGTTTACCATAAACTCTGAACAATATAATATATTATTTACTTATTATAAACAAAGTTCACTTTTATATAATTATATATCTTTTTTTTAAAGTCCTCCGGCCCTAGGCCCTGGGCATGTCACTTCCATAGCATATGGAAGAGTATTAACTAACCATACATTAATTATTTTTTAAACAGGCTGAAGAGCCTCAGTGCCAGGATGTGTTGGCCTCGAAGGGATGAGTTATTATAAACACTATCTGTGTAGACATTTGAAAGAAACAACGTGGGAGTTAAAATTACAGGTTCAAGAACCTATTTTTCGTTTCTCTCCCACACATATACTCATCTCCTGTCATATTCTTTTCCAAAAGTTTGCAAATTTCCAGTGTTTCTCAGTAAATCTTTCCTTTGAATAAATGTATTAAAGTGTCAGTAACTGGTGACCTTTATTGTCTTGTGTCAAGATTCTTCATATCTGAATGCTTACAGTGTGAATTATCGCAAATCTGTTACTTTAGTACTGAAAGAAATCGTGCTATCAGCAGAAAGGTGTTCCTTTCAAGTCTAAGCACTGTTGTAATTTCCACCCCAAGGAGGACTGTAGCTAGAGTGTTCAGTCAACTCCACCGTATCCTAATTAAGGTGCGACAAGTGGGGAGTGAGGCTACCTAGGGCCAGGAATATTCATGGAAGAACAGTTTTAATGTTCTATGGTTTCCAAGTATGGCATTCCTTTAGTGCTCATGGGCTATTGTGGGAAGAATAAGACATTTGGGGCTGGGGAAGAAAAAAACTGACTTGAATTCTGGCTCTGCCATGTCCTTGTGCTGTGCTCTTTGGAAGGTCACTTCCTCTCTTTCTACTTGTTTCCATCTTAGTGTGCAGCTCTAACGGAGATAAGTTTTCTGAACAGACCCAGACCTCTCTTTTTTAAAACGACTCTACACTTGAAGTGATTATGTGAGTGTGAGGTCTTATGTTCACTATTTTGATAACAGGTACCTAGAAGAAAGGAAGAACATGTAAGTAAGCCAACTCTCTAGAAAGGCTGTAGCTTCCAAGGTCATCCTCAGAACACTGAAAATACTGCCAATATGTGAATTCTCATCATGACAAGATAGTTGAATTGGGAAATGAGGCTCAATTAAAAATTGTGCTCATTTAGAATAACAAGCACCAAAATCAAAACAAGCAGCAAAGAAAATCTCTGTGAAACTTTAACAGAATATATTCTGTAGCTCTGTAGCCAGAAATTGGTGTTTGGGATCAGATAAAGGGAAAGAATATAAACTATTCAATGCAACAGATAAAAGTTAAGCCATTATATGCCCACTACTATGGAAAGTCCTGTTCTAAATACAAAAAACATAGTCCCGGACCCCTTGGAGATTATATTCTAGTATGTATTGGTGAGGCTGGTGGATAAGGGATCTAGACAACCAACCCTTAACAAATCAGGCCAAGATAAGGGCTGTGCAGTGAAACAAAACAGAATCATGAGTCAAAATAACTGGGGTCTGCACAAGGGATCTGGGAAATTCTCTTCTGATAAGGTCATGTTTAGGCCAAAGTTTCCTCAACAAAAATACTCTAGTCCTGTGAACACTAATAAGAATGTTCCATGAGGAAATACCAGTAAAAAAAAGATAGGTATCTCGAACTTGCTCTTACAGAAGGACCTAAGTGTCAGCATTGCTGGGGTGCACTCGTCAGCGGGATGGAAGAACCAATACATGGGCAGAGACATAGGGAGCCGCTCACATCAGCCTTCCTGTGCCACAGGTAGGAGTCTGGGTTGTGTCGTAAGCACGACGAGTTACCACTGGGAAGTTCTGAACAGACAGTGACTTGATCTGATGTAGGTATATAAAATGCCATCTTCCCTACGGAGGTTAGACTGTTGGAGGCCCAAGTGGACTTGAAGAACTGTTAAGAGATTTTTGAATTCATGCAAGAGACCATAGTTTCTTGACTAGGATCTTAATAATAAAGACATCCACTTTTTCATTCATCCATTCATTTGACAAATAGCCAATAGTCTTTGTGCCGAAATTTGTTCTTGGTGCTAGGCATGTGGCAATAATCAAAAGCAAAGAATTTGCTGTCATATAGCTTCTAATTGGTAGAAGATAGAGGTGGTCAAGAGGAAAAAAAAGTGATGGAGCTGCTTTTAGATGGGCTGCTCAAGGAAAACCCCTGGACAGACCTAAGTGAGCCAGTAAGACTGTAGTTCTCTGGAGGAACAAGCACTCAAAAACAGCAAGAAGGCCCGGGGACAGGACGCTGTTTGGAGCATAGCTGAATGAGAGGCAAGGAGCAAGCATTGTGGTCTGGTGGCTACTGTGGCCAGATCACGCAGGATTGGGTAGGCTGTGATAAAGTCTTTGAATTTTTGTTTTAAATTTTATGAAAAACCATTGAAGAGTTTCGGATGGGGGTGTTGACTTGGTCTGATCTATATTTTTAAAAGAATCACTCTAACTGCTATGTGAAAATAGATACTAAGAATCATGCAAAGCTTTTTTACCTGAGGGACCCATTTGGAGGCTGTTGGAGTAACCATCCAGGAGAGGATAATGGGCTGGCCTAGACTGCTAGCCACAAAAGTGATAAGAAGTGGCCATATCTGAGTGGAAGTTGAAGGCACAACCCTTGGGATTTGCTAGTGAACTGGATACTGAGTGTAAAAATATGGAGCAGAGAAGATTCCAAGTATTTTGTCATAAATAATCAAAAGGAGGTGCCGTGTCCTGAAAACGGAAGTGGGAAAGGATGGTATGTTAGGGGCAGTAAGGAAGAATTGAGGATTAAATATTTGCTTTTGGACATAGCAAATATGTTAGCTGTTAAATATTCAAGAGGAGTTGTCTAGTGAACTAGTGTATATATAAAGTTGGTGTTTAGGATAGAAGGTGAATCTAGAGGTATCAGTGTGGGTTATCACAAAATACAGATGGACTTTAAAGCCATGGAATTGGAGGAAATCACTGAAAAAGTCAAAGTAGGTAGCAAAGATAAGAGTACACATTTCAGATATGTTTTGAAGATTGAAATAAAATGACCTGCTCTTCTATCAGGGAAAGAAAAAAAACAAGGATAAATTGTTGCTTCAACAATTGAGCAGATCATTGCATCGCTCAGTTGGGAAGGATGAGAGCAGAAACAGTGTGTGTTTATAGAAGAGGCGTCATGAGTTCCTTTCTGGGGTGTTAAATTTGAAATGCCAGTCTGAATCAAACCCTGAATGTGAAAGCTAAAACTATTATACTTTTAGAAGCAAACACAGAGTTAAATAACTATGACTATAGATTTGGCAAAATTTTCTAAGCTTTGACACTACAAATATAAGTAATAGAAGAAAAGATAGGTAAATTGGATTTCATCAAAATTATAAACATTTGTGCTTAAAAGACACCATCTAGAAAGTGAAACAACCCCCAGAATGGCAAACCTGCTGTGTATCTGATAAGAGTCTAGTAACCAGAATTTATATTACGCTTCAATAAGTGAAGGGCAACTCAGCTTAAAAAGCAAGTAAAATGTCAGAGTAGACATTTTTGCAAAAAAAAAAAAAGATAAAATATTTTCTTAATTACTAATGCTATTAGATATTGTGTCTAATAAATACATGAAAGTATTACTTTATTAGGCATTAAGAAAGGTAAACAAAACCTACAGTGCGATACCATTTGATCCCAATGAGGATTGTTAAAATACTAAAGAACAGCTGATGACAAGTGTTGGAGAGGACATGGAGCAACTGGAACCCTTCTATACGGGTGGGAACATACATAAAGTGGTGCCGTAACATCGAAAATTAGCCTTTCAGCTCCTTAAAAGTCTTAAATGTAGTGCTACCATAAAATTCAGCAATTCTCCTCATATATATATTTTTACAAATATATTTACATATATGTGACTAATGAAAACATATGACATATGTCCACACAAAAACTTGAGCATAAATGTTTAAGTTAGCACTATTCATAAGAGCCAAAAAAGTGGAAACAAGTCAAATGTTCATTAGAGGATGAGTGGATAAATAAATGTGCCATATTATTTAGCAATAAAAAGGAATGTAGTACCAATATCTGCTGCAGCATGAAAGAATCTTGAAAGCACTCTAAGCCACAGATGGTATGACTTAATTTTTATGCGAAATATGCAGAATAAGCCAATCGGCAGATATAGAAAGGCAGTAAATGGTTGCCTGGAGCAATGTCAGGGGAGTGGCTAAGGGAAAACTGGAGTCCCTGTTAAAAGGTAGAGGATTTCTCTTGGGCTTAATGAAAAGCTTCTAAAATGGATGATAGTGCCGCTCAAAACTCTTGATTATCCGAAAAACCATTTAATTGTACATTTGAAATGGGTAACTTTATGGATACATTAATTATTTCTCAATAAAAATGTTATCCCCAACAAAGACAAAAGCAGGCTATTTTTATATCGTTATTCTTCTTTTAGAGGAGCTTTGTTGTCTGATGTGGTCACTCTAGTACAGAGAGATAAATTGATGCTACAGAGATAGAAGATAATTACCACAGCAAACTTTCTGAGAATGGGATCTGCAGTTCAGGAGGAAAAAGATTGATCACTCCAGGTATCACATTGCAGTCTAATTCATGAAGATTAGTGGGCTTCTGTGTGTGTGTGTGTGTGTGTGTGTGTGTGGTGTTGCACTTCAATTCTTGGGGAGAAGGGAGGAGCAACTCCTTATGTTGGAAAGAATCACTCCCAAATAGCCAGTTTCCTTATCCCAGTACCCAGCCTAGAACTCCTGAGATACTCTCCCACAGTATTTTCCTTTTCATCATTTTGCTCGTGTAGTAATCATAAAAGGTGTCTTAGTTACTTTTCTTGTTGCTAAAACAAATACTGGACAACCAATGTTAAAGGGGGGGCAGGTTTATTTAGCTGACAGTTTGTAGAGGTTTCAGTTCCTGTCAGCTGGCTCCAAGGCAGGGGGGCGTGGCAGTGGGGTGTGGCAGAAGACAAGCAGCAGCAATAAACAACACCACCACAGCTCTTTCTGCGTCTTGTACCTCACCCAGGCTGCCTGTCTTTAGGGAGTGTAGCATTCACACCCTTAATCCCAGCATCAAACTGTGAATCAATCCTAAAATCACTTCCTTGATCCCAGCAGCACAAACCCTAGATTCAGCTGCCTCTGAAGAATCTCAACTGTGATCCCATGAGGCTTGGCAGGGGGTGCAATCTAGATGCAAGCTGTAACAAGAAAGGGTAAGTCACCGGTCAAATCATACAACAGAGTTAAATAACTGTAAAGAAGTACTGTATCATACGTATCTATGAGAAGAGAACAAATGCATGTGTTCTTCTGTTCATCTTTTCAAAATCATTTTTGGGTTTTTGAAAGTAGCCTCAGAATATAATGAGTGATGTTACATTTAACACCATGTGCATGATGGAAATATAAAAGTTGTGTTTTAGGCTGTCTGACAGAATGATAGATTTAAATGCAAAATCACAGATATATGGGAAATGTGATAGGTTATATGTGTTATTTTGCAATTTTTTGAATCAAATGAGAAGTTTTAAATAAAATGCCAGTGTATAAGCTCCATCCCATGACCTATTGAATCAGAATCTCTAGAGGAATATCTGAGGGTGATGTTTTGCAATTTCTCGAGCTAACTCTCCATGCAGCCAGTGTTGAGAACCATTGCCTGATCACTGAGAATTACTGGAAGAAATGTGCAGAACGGCTGCGTGGTCATGTTCTGGACACTGCAAATCGCCTGCTATTCCTACTCTATGGAAGGAAAAGTCCCACTACAATGCAATGATATGATTGCAGAAATTCCATGGCATAACTTTGAAAATAATTTGTATAAGGGGCAAGAAGTTAAAACAATGTATTTTTCTGAGTTGATTTCAAGATGGAAAATTAGAATAAAAGGTTCTACATACTTTTGAAATGCAAAGGACTCAGCAGCTGCTAATTTGATTGAAGTGGGAAATCAGCCAGATTATGTAAAATCTATTTTTAGGCATTGTGCTGACAGGTGCTGTACCCTCTTTCACATCCTCCTAGAGATGTCTTACCTAGAGTAGACACCCAAGTTTTAAAGACCACATTCAGTGAACCTTGTAAATTTGCAAGCAGAGGCAGCAGCAGGGGTGCCTTCTCAGTGCCATCTCAAGCAGCAGATTGAGAACAATCAAATGAGAGAGCTTAAAAATGAATTGTATGGGGCTAGGGATCCCCGGTACAAAAAGAAAAAAAAAAAAAGTATTGTAATGGCTCATTTGACTTGAAGTTTTGGGGGAGAGTAAATTCTGAAAATGTTGGTATATATCCTAGGAGAAACCATGTTGTTATCAATAATCCAAAACTGAAAGAAATGGGAAAAGAAGCAGAGGACAAGTAGACCTAGCTGTGGAAATGGAGTACTAACTCCAGGAACACCAAGGGAGCTGCTCAAGTCACAGCAGCCAGGAAGCGGAGACCAAAGGGAGGAACCCGACAGGGAGATCTCCTTCCGGGTCAGGACCCAGTGATCTGCTGTTGAACTCACCAGAGGATGAATCCGCCCATGAGTACAGTGCCCCGTGGTCCAGCCATGTTCCAGAAGCCTCATCTCTGAATGCTCGAGAATTTGAGGAGGACGGTCCAGATCAGAACTATCGTAGGACTCGAGTATCAGTGGGGGACTACGAGAAATTTCACGATGGCCAGACGTGTAAATTTACTTCAAAGGTCAGAAGGAAATAAAGAAAGCTAATTGTCACCTTTGAAAAGAATAAATGCAGTACGCTAACTATTATAATCTGCAGAACAAGAAGTTTTATTTTAAAAAATAGATGATGTAAGGAAATCTGAATTCTAAGTCAGCAACATTCTTTATAAAGTTAATAATTGTTTTAGGTAGAAGGGATCATTATTTATATATATGGGTCAATTTCCTTTTCCATATTTTAGGATACTGTATCATATAGATTTAGATATTATAATTCTTGTCCTGTTTTTAAGATTCATTTAACACTTCCGTAAGAATATTAAAGGACAAGCTGACAGACTAAACATAGGTACATAAGGGCTCTATTTTGTATACAATTACAAATTAATAATAATAGCCCATGAAGGAGCTTTATCAAAACAAATATACTACTCCAGGAAGGATTCTTTCATTCATTTATTCATCCATAAATTCTCACTGATCCCTGCTGTGCAAAACACGGCGTCAAGATTCACACGTCAAGATGAATGTGAAATCTCTTCAGCCCTCAGGGGACCCTCAGACTAGAAGTGGGACTGGGGAGGGGGTTATAATCAAAGAATGATATAAATAAGATAGGTTGGCAGAAGTTTTCTATTCCCAGAGGAGGAAGAGATGAGTAAGTGGAAAACTTCCTGGAAGAATGAGTGAGAGGAGAGGAGAAAAGGCTTTGCTGGGTGCATGTAGGTGTGAGTGTGCACTGGATAGGACGGTGGAAAGGTGGACAGATGGAAACAGATCTCAAAACCCGCGTAAGCATCCACTGTCACAGAAGAGAAACAGTTGTTCATTTATTCTGAGTCAAGATAGCAGCAATTACTATAGTTTGAGTTAGGTTTATTTGTAATAAAGGACTTAAAGGATGGGAAGATATCCAGTCTGTTAGGAAACCAAATCATTTTGCAGTCATTTTTAAAAGGCTTCTACCTTCTCACCAGCATGATTTCCTTATATCCACACTCTTGCCAATGCTTGCCATTTCTTGTTTTTTACGTAGTAACCATCCTGGCAGGTGTACGGTGACAGCTCATTGTGGTTTTGATTTGTGTTAGAATGGTGAACACATTTTCATATTTGGATGCTTATCTCACAGATAATTATGTGAGATGGTAGATAAATGAAACTACTCGACTCTACTAGCATTTTCATTAAGCGTATGTATGTCAAAACATCATGTTACATACTTTAAATACATGCAATAAAAGCTGCATTTATTATTAATAAGAGCTTGTTTTTCAGGCTTCACTAAGATAAGACATATAATCTTGATAGCAAATCTATTTAATAGTTCCTGAGAGAGGAGAAATGGGAAAGAAGGATACAAAGGAGAGGGTGGGATCTGTGTGTGCATGGAGTACTTAATGGGTAATAAACAAGGGCTTTGAAAGCCTCTCAATTTTTTTATGCCAAAAGAATAAGGTTTTGTGTGTTTTTTTCTGGAAAGGTAGCCCAAATTCTAAAATTATTCATAGCTCCAAAAAGTGAAGATCTTTTTTCCTTAGAATAAGAAAATGTTTTGCATCTTTTATGTTGCACACTTTTCATTAATTCAGTATCTGTTATTCTGAGTTTGCAAAATATATTGCACTATATGACTTGATCCTAAATTAGTGAGTTCTGTATCTTAAAATATAGTTTCTCTGATATATCTATATTTTAAAATATTATAAATCGGTTCAAATATTCACTACAGATGATATGTTAATGCAAAAGATCATACATAAAATTTTAATGTGTACCTAAATAAAATTCCAATCAGCCATGAAAGTAACCTGTAATAATCTACATTATGACAAAGTGCCAAGAAGAAGGTCTTCAAGTTAATTGCTTTTTTTTTTTTTCTTTTTTTTGGTACCAGGGACTGAACTTGGGTCCTTGTGCTTGTGAGGCAGACAGAAGAACCACTGAGCTAAATCCTCGGCCCTTAAAGCTACTTACTGAAAAGCTCTCTTAACTAATTTTTAGCAAGTGAACACCAGTATATAAGATTCATGCAAAATTCACTGTAAATAGTCACATGGTTTTATATGCTAAGTAGCAAAATTTTTTTTTCTGATAAAACTGGCTTTGTAGAACTGAAAATTGTTCCTGTGAAGACATAGGCATTGATGGGTGTGGTGGCACACACCTGTAATCCTAGCACTTGGGAGGCTGAGGCAGGAGGATGGTGAATTTGAGGCCAGCTTGGGCATATTGAAAGCTCAAGCCCAGCCTGAGCTACTGCAGGGCCTTGTCTCAGACAACAACAAATCAAGACATGCGTTTACTCAGGATATTGACAATCCATTACCTCCCTCCCTCCACGTGGTTAAAATTATATAATGAGAACAGTTGGAAAAATAGCATGCTTTTTAATATGTTATATGATAAAAAGTACCACTAAATATCACTAGATTTATGGAAAAGGAGGAAAGCATCCTTACTCTATTAACCTGCCAACTGCTGGCTGTTAGGCTAGAAGACAACATTGCTTTTAAAACGACTGCAGGAAAAAAATCAGGATGGCCTGGATAATAGATGTTCAGGGGATCTTCTCCTAGGCACTCGGAGGCTAACAGGGAAGCTTGTCCATTGACAGGATAATATCTGTATTCTCACCACACTGAAATTACGATGGTTACTTTAAGAATTTTCAGCGGGGGGCTGGAGATTCAGCTCAGTGGTTCTGCTGCCTGCCCAGAAAGTGCAAGGTCCCAAGTTGGATCTCTGGTACCAAAAAAAATAGGGGAAAAAAAAGAATTTTTAGCAGGAAATTTTAAAATTGTACTGAGTTCCCAAAAATACTTTTGTTGCACCAAAGTAATATATTGAAGATACTGTTCACTCTCTAAATTTTTAAACTTTTATACTTATGATTTACTTTGGAGATTTCTTCAATATCTGAGGAATATATATATTTTAAAATGGAATCGAGTTATTCTGTTTCCCTAACAATTAAGGTATTTAGCAAAATTGATATTTAACTTCCTAAAATTTATATGGAAATATAAAGGACCGAGAAGAGCCAGCGTTTCCTGGTAGATTTACATAGCACGAGTAAGGCCTAGTGTAAAGCAGTAGCATTTAAGACAGTACAGTCTTGGTAGAAGGGTAGATAGCAATAAATCAATGGGACAGGACAGAGCACCCAAACACATATTGGTCACCTTATTTATGACAAAGTAGCATTGTGGTACAATGGAAAAAAGGGTTATTTTCCAAGTAGAAGCTATAAGGTCAATGGGAAGGCATTACAAGAAAACAAAGAACCCTTACCCCCATCAAAATGTACACTAAAACTGGTTTTAGATGAGTTGCAAATTCAAGTGTAAAACTGAAAACAACCCTTCTAAAAATGGAGGTGGGCAAACTTTTCTCAAGGACTACATAGTAACTATTTTAGACTTTTCAGATCACACAATGATGTTGCCTTTGCTCAGCTCTCTGCCATGGTAGCACAGAGGCAAGGCATATGCAGCATGTGAGGGAGGGATCTGCCTGTGCTCCCCTAAAACTGCACTT